CTATTTTCCTACTACTCCTACTCCTACTCGTATGACTACTACTACTACTACTACTACTACTACTACTAGTACTAGTACTTTTACTAATAATAATCATTCTACTACTACTACTACTACTACTACGACTAAGTCTACTACTACTACTACTACTTCCACTTCTACTACTACTACCAACGCCACCACTACCAACTCTAGTAGTAGTTGTCGTAATAGTAGTGGTTGGAGTCGTAGTACTACGACCACCACTACCATTACTTCTATTACTGCTACGATTATTACTACTACTACTACTACTACAACAACTACCATTACTACTACTACTACTACTACTACTACTACTGCTACTGCTACTGCTACTACTACTACTACTATTACTACTACTACTACTACTACTACTACTACTACTACTACTACTACTCCTTTTTCGACCACGAGTACCACGACGACTACTACTAGTACTATTACTACTACTACTACAACTACTACTACTACTACTACTACTACTGTACTACTACCATTACCACCACCACTACTATTTACCTACCTATCTACCTACCTGTCCCCCGATCTACCTATCTAGTTATCTACCGACCTATTATTCCTACTCCTACTACGACTAACACGAGTAACGCTACGATGTCTATTTCGTACTTGTGTCTTGCCTTCGTGTGTCAGTGCGAGCGCTTGGTCTCTCATCGTCCTCGTCCGCAGCCATCTGGTTTCGCTCTGGGTGCAAAACCCAGCCCTCGCGTGGGGCCGCGCGCTCGGGCGGTCCATCTTCCCCACCCCGTGCGGCGGCGAGCAGGGGGTGGCAGGCCTCCTCCGCCTCCCAGGCCCTCAGCGTTCGCCGCTAGGAGTGTGGCGAGGGCGTTGGTGGTCTGATCATGCCCACCGTGCAGGAGCCAGCCGCGTGAGCGAAGCTTCGGCTTTTGGACATCGAATTCGACGGTGCGGTTCGGCCGTCCGTGCTGCTACGGCGAGGGCAAGTGCGACGCGGTCGTTATGCGTATCGAACGATGGCGTATACCAGAGAGCCTTTCCTAGGTTATCTTGGCCAAGAGGAGACGCAGGCGGAGGTCGACCAGGCCATCCCGCTGGCTCGCAAAGCGACGTCAGGGTCGCAGAACCAGGGGAAAGACAAGAAGAACCGGCTGTCCGACACTGCTGCGACTGGCCAGCTGGTCGAGAGACCTGCGGCTCGTCGTGGCCGCGAGGGGCCTGGTGGCGGAGCCAGCGGTCGCGAGGGGGCCCCGCTCGGTCGTGACCGAGCGCCGAAGCGGCGACTCGAGAAACTCTGCGACAGTTTCTCGGGTGGCAAAGCGACCGCGCCGCCAGGGGGCAGCGTCGGCATCCGCTCCACTGGCGAGGGCGTGACTGACGGGGGCGAAAGCTCCGAGCTAGCGGGGGCCGACTGCCGACCCCCTGCACGGGGCCGCAGGAGGCCCAAAGGCAGCGGGTCCCGTGAGGGAGAGGGCGAGAGGTTATCGCTGTAGGAGAAGATCATCGCCCAGGCTGCGTCGGTCCAGGGGGCCCCCCAGGGCCCCGCGCGGGGCGAGTCCCGGAGCGGGGGCCGCGGAGGCAGCAGGAACGCGCGCCGCTCCCACTCCAGGCGGGGCCGTGCCCGCAGCGAGAGCTCGAGGTCCGATCGCTCTTCGAGCGGGTCGAGGCAGGGTCTTCCCGCCGCCCGACTCAGCGCGATGCGGGCTCAAGCGCGCTGCCGAGATGCAGCCGGGCGAGCTAATTTTGAGTTCGCTCGAGGAGATGCGGTAATGCCTGGGCGCTCGCGGGCGCAATCCCGACGGCGCCGCCGCCCCAATGGCTTCGCCAGCGTGCGCTTGCCGAGCTGCCGGGGCACGCTGTATCAGCGCCACGAACAGGAGATGGGCGCCGTCCTCGAGGCCGACCCGGGGCGGGCGTCGGACTTGTTCATGCAGCAGTTCAAAGCGGCGGGGCAGCGCCGCGCCGACGGCAAGTAGCGAACATCCAGGCAACTCAGCGTCGTCGCGGATGGCAGGGTGTCGGCGACGGGCGAGGGCGAGCGCCGCGGGCGCCTGCAGGGCGGGCGGATGGACCAGAAGCACGCCAGGATGCAGATGGACGTCGCGGGCCGCGAGTCTGCCGCGCGCTGACGAACGCCCGCGGGGGGCGCGCCAGGGGCGGCGCCTCAGGCCCCCCCCGTGCCGCGTGAGACCGCGGGCTCCTGGGGGCGCTGGCTGGCGGTGCTGGGGCGCGCTGCCGGGGCGGATCCAGCCTCCCCAGAGGGCCCGGACTTGCTATGATAAGCGTCGGACGCATGTTAGATAGTTCAAGTCTTATTATAATCATTGACGGTTATTATAAGCGCGGGCGGCTGTATTAAACGTTATATGTTGTTAGAAGACTTGTTGATGTAATAAAGTGACGAAGTGGTGCATCAGTGCCCGCGCAACTATGCATTTATCGGCGCATTCGTGTGTTCAGGCATTGTAAACCTCATAAACATAATCACGCATTGTCTCACTCCTGACATGGCCCATGCACCCCTCGCGCGCATCGCGCCGCGCAAGAAAACACGCGCGTGCACGCGCGCGCGCGCGAACGCGCGCACGCGCGCGCGCACGCACGCACGCACGCGCGCGCACACAACACACACACGCACACACACACACACACTCACTCACACTCACACTCACTCACACACGCACACGCACACGCACGCGCACACGCACGCGCACACGCACACGCACACGCACACGCACACGCACACACACACGCACACACACACACACGCGCGCCCGCGCACGCCCACGCGCGCACGCCCGCGCGTGAGGCCTGCGGCGCCGCCACCGTGCCTGGGTTGTGGGATCGCCCGAGGGCGCGAGACGCAGGTCCGCCCCGTGGACGGCGCGGTCGACGAGGCCGCCGCGCGGCGCCGCAGGGGCGGGGCGCGAGGAGGGCAAGGAGGAGAGGAAGTGAGATGGAGGAGAGGAGGGGGGGGGGATGGGGGCCGCCTCAGCAGAGCTGTCTCGAAACGGGACAGGAGGGGGAGGAGGATGGAGGAGGGGGCGGAGGAGGAGGAGGGGGAGGAGGAGGGCGCCGCCCTGCAAAAGCAAGAAGACCCTGGATGGGCCAGCCAGGGGCCCCCGCGGCCCGTGGGCCCTGGGTCTGCGTCCGGTGGCCCTGGGTCTGCGTCTGGTGGCCCTGGGGCCCCACGGGCGACGGCCGCTCGAGCCTGCGCCACCGCTCACGACTCGAAGATGCGCTTCTCGCGCGGGGGTTCCTCGGGAAGATGCGGGGCGTCGACGTCGATTGAACGTCGTCGATCGATCGTCGTCGCCCATCGTCATCGTCGATCGTCGTCGCCACTCGCCGTCGTCACCAATATCGTCGACCAGTGGCCCGTCGTCGTCAATCGTCAGAGTCGTCGATCGTCGTCGTCGACTGTCGTCGTCACCGATCGTCGTCGCCTTCCTCGTTTATCCAGGCCGTCTTCCGTCGTCAGTCGTCAATTCTAAGTGGGAGGTTGTCGTCGTCGTCAGTCGTCAGTCGTCGCCGCCCGTGCGTCGTCATGCCATCGATGGGCATCGATGCGTCATCGATGGGGTCATCGATGACGCATCGATGACATGTCGATGCCCATCGACGGCATGACGACGAACAAGCGAGGACGACGACGACTGACGACCAATAGTCTCATCATCGCCCTCCTCATCATTACACGCGCCCGCGCGTCCTGCGTGGCCGCCTCGCCGACTGCGAGGGTCTTGGGGACGTTGAGGACTGGGATCCAGGCCGCGGGAGTGATCACGGGGTCCAGGTATTCAGCCTCGGGCGAGTTCGGTGCAGGCGTCCCGCGGAGGCACTTGAACGTGAACTTGTCGCCCTGATCGCTGTCATCGTCCAGGCCAGCAGCGGTGAGCATCTTCTCGGTGACGTTGTGGATCGCCTCGTCGTTCTCCTTCTCGGCGATGTCGTCTTCCTTCTTCTCCTTCTCGGCGATGTCGTCATCCTTCTTCTCCTTCTCGGCGATGTCGTCATCCTTCTCGGTGATGTCGTCATCCTTCTTCTTGATGAGGTTGTCGATCACGCGATCAGTCTTCGCTGGAGTGGGATCGAGCTTCATCAGGTGCCCCGCCAACTCGTCATGTGGACTGGGCTCGTCATCTGAGCTCTCATCAGAATCGTAGCCGTGGCAGTCGCCGTTCTTGTCACCGTCCATGTGGCAGTCGCCGTTGTTGTCGTCGTCGTCGTAGGGGTTCTTCTCCACTGCGTCCACATCCTTGCTCGCAGCCCGTCGGAGCCCGCATTGCGCCCACATGGTCGACTCCTCGTGGTAGCGCCATGGCGCCGCCAGGATCTGCCTCCACATCTCTTCTTGCGCATGTACACGGCCTGCGCGTTGAAGTGGGGGCTCGAGCACTGGTGGCGCGAATGCCATGGCGTAGATCACCAGATCACCACGCGCCCAGCCCGGCGTGGCACCCACACCCGAGCCGAATTAGGCTAGGTCATCGACATCACCATCGCCATCATCCCGACGCCTTCTCACTCTCTCTCTCTCTAGATATATTCTCTCTCTCTCTCTCTCTCTCTCTCTCTCTCTCTCTCTCTCTCTCTCCCCCTCTCTCTCTCTTTCGTTATTTCTTTCTTTCTTTCTTTCTTTCTTTTTCTCTCTCTCTCTCTCTCTCTCTCTCTCTCTCTCTCTCTCTGCGTGTGCGTTTCGCCTTCGAGGGTGACTGTGGACAGAGTCGACCAGCGAACCGCTATCGATCCACGGACCTGGCTGCGCCCCCAGTCGAGATCCCAAGTGCGCAGAAGGAACGCCCTCCATCCACGCAGACGCGGGGCACCCTGTCGCCACCCATCTGTGTAACTGTGACACGGCGCACAACGTCCTCCATCCATGTAGCTGTTCGGTCCCCCCTGTACCCCCCCTTCCGTAGCCATCCCACTCAAGCTTGGCGCTCGCGCGCGCCTGAGTCTTCAGCCTCCTGCGCGGTCTCCGCGCGACGACGGCTGCCATGAGCCAGACCTGCATCATCGCGCAGGCCGACTTGACGGTCGAGAAGCCTAACTTCCACAACATATTCTGCGACACATTGCAGACTTGGGCGCGCCTCCCATTCCCGACGAGCCCGCGCAAGCTTGTTGGCATGAGTCCCGAAGACATGGAGTATTACAAAGACTGCTCGACTGCTGGCGCGATCAAGCAGCAGCTCGGCAACTACTTGGACGAGTACCGCGACTTCGGGAAGATCAAGCTTTACAGAGCCAAGGGAGCAAATGATCCTACAACAGGCGCGCCTGTGCGGGTGCCACAGCCAAGGGGCGACGAGATCAAGAATCACGAGTTCGTGCCGAAGAGCGCGTGGCTCTTCGGTGAGACTACGGAGGGCCCCGCCACCCCAGAGACGATGACCGGCGGCGATATCAAGTGGCCCGACAGCGACGAGCCGACATCAGGCCACAAGACGAGCGAGGACGGCAGCGCAAACACAGTGTGCTGCTTCTTCCAGGAGATGGACGATTGGCTGGCCATCAAGCTGCCGCCGAAGACGGTCGACATTTCGAGCCCTGGCGGACGCGGCGCGACCAGCCCGCCGCACAACGTGGTGGTGCTCAAGAAGTGCATCGCATCGAGTATGAAGTGGAAGCACCAGGGCAAAGTGGAGATATCGAACATCCGCATCTACCGCGCAGACGAACACGGCCAAGCAGCGGGGCCTGCGATGGAGGGCAACATCATGATCAGCACGACGAACGTCTACGTGGCCGCGCTCTACCCTTCGACAGAGGTGGAGGTCTACATTCAGATCGGTACCAAGCAGATCATCAGCCTCGACAGTGGCGACGACGGTGAGGGCCCGCAGTAAGGAGCTCGACCAGATTGGTCGACCGGGCGGGCAGCCGCGCCGCCAGTCGCGGCAGCCATAAGAGTTGATTTGTCGCTTCCCTCTGCCACGAAGCGCAAAACAAACGACCATCCTCCGTCCTCCGCCTACTGCCGCCCCCACCTTCCCCCCCTCTGCCTCGAGGGGCCCCGCGCCAAGCCCGCATTGTGCGAATCGGCGATGCGTCGCCGACGCATCGGCGGCATCATCGATGACGAACCGATGCCACATCGCCGATGCATCGGCCCGTGTGCCAGGGGGCGGGAGAGGCCCCGTGCGCGATGACCCCCTCCCGCGGACGTCCAGCGCCAGACGGCAGGCAGATCGACAGAGGCAGGCGAAGTCGGATGTAGGCAGAATGAGGGGGAGGAGGCGAGATGACGGAGAGACAGAAGAGGGAGGGGGGGGAGGGAGGGAAGGAGGGAGGTGCGAGGAAGATGAGGGGTGAAGGAGGTGGTAAGATGAGAAAGGGTGATCACTGCGCGATGAGGGCACGATTGCATCTCAACTCACTTTTAAAAGCGTCGCCACACATGTTTGCGCGCATGGGCGCGCCGCGCCACTGCGATCGAACGTGAAACGCGATGTAACACGACGCATTGGCATGCGCGAATTGCGCCTTGCACACGCCAGCTCGCGCAGCGCGCCGCGCGATGCCAGAGTGAAAATCAGGGCGAGCAGCCGCTTGAGACATGAATTGCCATCTTGGTCATGCACTCGCCGAATGCCTTCGGATATTTGCCTGAGTCTTTGAGCGCTGGGCCGCCCACGACCCAATTTGCGTCCACCCTCCAGACGGCGTCGCGGCGGCGCTTCGATGGAAGCGTCTTCTTCGGCATCTTCCGCCGCAAACAACGCGCCGCAATCTCGATCGGAACAGTGGTGCCCGCTACCCCCCATGGGAGGTGGCGGGCGGGAGAGTGGGTGGGCAACTTGCACTCGCGAGCTCCTTTGCGCACGTCGCGCCGACCCACCGCCACCCCTCGCCTGTTGTAGGTGATGGCGCGAAGCGCAAGTAAAGATGTGCACCCCCTTCGGGATGGGAAGAGCGCGGTCAAACGCACCCAACCGCGTGCACAGCGCGTTGATCTGCACACGCTGCTTGAGCGAAAGGAAAGCAGGGTGGTGCTTGAAAGTCGAGCAAACTGGCTGATCGATTGAAACGTAAACACATGACAGGTTCAAGTGAGTACACATCCAGCTGACGAACAGTGCCATTATGTTCCCGATGCTCACGAGGTGGTATGACTCATTTCCAACGGGGTGATCAGATGACCTTCCACTCTGCCATCGGCTGGTCCACGCATAGCTTCGGCAGTCCACGCCGAAATGCACGAGCCCCTTCTGGCGAACACGGCAGCAGAGGATGGCGCACCACAGCGTCCCAGCACATGTAGTGATATCCTGCGACACGTGGTTCACAATGTCGAAAGAGCCCACGCGGTACGACTTGCGAGCCATCGCTTTGCCTGGGGAGTCGCCCCCGCTGAAGATGTGAGCGAAGTCCAAGTCCCTAACGATCTTGCCTGGTGGAACACGTTGCAAATGCGCGTCAGCGCCAGCTCCCCTGCGAGCGCGCAGGATTCTGAGGCGAACCCAGCCGTTGCACAACAACTACACACAGAAGAACAGACGGCGAGCATTTGCAACCCTCATGCCAGTACGAAGAAGAGCGGGCACAGTCTCCGCCACGAATTGCACCTGGCCCCAGCGAGTCGGGTCGGCGTTGGTCATCGCCAACTGCACGACCCAGTCTGGAACAGGCCCCGCAGATGCGCTGCCGCGCGCAACCATCCGCACACATATCAGCAGAAAGCAAGCCACCACTTGGATCGGGCAACGCCTATGTCGAGCGCGACCTGGAGGTCCAAGCGCTGGAATACACCGCGCTCGAACTGCGACGCGTGACTAGCTTCGGCCAAATTGGCTAAGCGAGCGTTCAATGTTTCGTCCCTCCACGTAGCATGAATACGAGGATGCCCCATATACCGGATCCTCAGAGGGCTGCATGCCCTTGTTTTCCCCTCCCCCCTGCCCCCCCTCCCCCCATCTCTCTCCCCCCTCTCCCTCTCTATCTCTCATGGCCTGTTGCTGCCGATGGTGATTCCTCCATTCCTTTCTCGTTCTCTCCATCTCCCACTAACTCTCCCCCTCCCGCTCTTGGCCCCCCCCCCCTCCGCCCCCCCCCTCCCTCCCTCCCTCCCGCCCTCTCTCTACTCTCTCTCTCTCTCTCTCTCTCTCTCTCTCTCTCTCTCTCTCTCTCTCCTCTCTCTCTCTTTTTTGTTTTGTTTTCTTTCTCTTTCTCTCTCTCTCTCCTCTCTCTCTCTCTATCCTCTTCCTCTTTCTTTCCCTCACTCTCTCTCTCTCCTCTCTCTCTCTCTCTCACTCTCTCTCTCTCCCCCTCCCCCTCTCTCTCTCTCTCTCTCTCTCTTTCTCTCTCTCTCTCTCTCTCTCTCTCTCTCTCTCTCTCGTCTCTCTCTCTCTCTCGCTACTCCTGCCCGCGAGTCGGCGATGCATCGCTGACGCGTCGGCAACGGCATCGACGACGGCATCAATGACGCATCGATGACGCATCGCCGATGCATCGGCCCAGGCGCCCGATGCATCGGCGCACGCATTGATGGCGCATCGCCGATGCATCGATGGCGCATCGCCGATGCATTGCCATGAGCAGCAGCAGCGCGGGGTAGTGGAGGGCGCAGGCTGATCGAGAGGGAGGGGTGGGGTGAGAAAGGCAGGAAGTGATGCCCTCCTTCCGCTCCTCATTCCTCATCTTCCACCTGCTGCCCTTCCTGCTCGATCCTCGCGTGTCCCCCCCCCCCCTCTTACCTGCGGCAAATCGTCCTTCCGCCCCCCCCCCCCTCCCCCCCATTCCCTCCTCGGCGCCCCCCCCCCCCCTCCTCCGCCACTCCCATCTTCTCGTATTCCCCCTCCCCCCCCCCCCCGCGCCTGGCCGCAGGCGCTCGCTTCGACGCCCTCGATGCGAGGCCGCGCCCGCCCGCTTGCTCTCTACCCCCCCCCCTTGTCGCCGACGCATCGCCCGACGCGTCGCCTGGTGCAATCGCCCGACGCGCTGCCGATGCATCGCCGGACTCGGCGCGGGGGAAGGGGTCAGATAAATAACGAGGGGGGGGGGGGGGGAGGAGGATGGGAGGAGAGGGGGGGGGGGGGGATGGCGGGGGGGGGGGGAAGGGGAAGAGGGCAGACAGAAAGAGGAAGACCGGAGGGAACAAACACCCGCCCCGAGCCCTTCGATTCATGTGCCAGAATCCGCCGCCATGCCTCTCGGCGCGGAGCCGCGCGGTGCCCTCAGGTCCTCTGCCAAATCCCCTGAGCCGCGGCCCTTTGCCCAGAGGCCGAAATGAAGCCCCGAGAAGCCTCAGCGCGGCCCCCACGAGGCCTCAAAGCTGCCTCCTAGAGGCCTCCGAGAGGCCAGCCAAGAAATCCCAGCGCGCATATGGACAAGATGCCTCAGACCGACAGCCCAGGCACGATGGCGGGATGGGCCGAAGGCCAGTAGGATAGGTGGTGCTTCGGCGTCCTGGGGACCCCTCCGCGCCTAAGCTGAAGCAAATGCCGAAGTGCCAAGTGCTCGATGCGATCGCATTGGTGAGAATCGGGCCTGTCTGGATACGATGCGAGCTCCACGTGCCATTCGAGCGACGTGTCGGCGCGCATTTTAAGCCCTGCGCCACGCACAATGCGGCCTGAAAAAGTTGGCATCATAATCTTCGCGCAAAAAAGAAACATATCAATTGTCTCAGCACCCTTTAGCTTGATGCCTTGCTTGTGTGGCTTCCCGAACATGCTAGGAGAGAGCTCGGTATCGATCTCACTCAGACGTCGCCCCTGGAGTTTCTCTGACGTGTACCACTCGTTCAGAAGCACACTTAGACGGCTGAACCCTATAGACCACCGTGTTTCCTGATTTGCCCCATGAGGGACGAACGCGTCTGATTGCACCAAAGCCCACATAATTGCACAGACAATAGATGGCATCGCGCCGAGCGCGACCGCGTGGAGGAAATCCACGCCAAAATTCTTTGCAATGCTCAAGCCGACCCCTGCTTCAAATGCTGGATTTGGCAAGGTCGTGAGCGTTGCTCTGGGGGGGCGCCAGAATTTTAGCCAGCACGGCGTGTCTACAACGGCGTAATGTCCAGCATCCTCTAGCCCTGGCTGGGGAATTGGGCGGTCGTGTTTTCTCAGGGGGGCGCTGCGATCATTGAGTGCAAGTGTATCAGCTCCAACAGTTAGGCCCCGACCTGCGCTCCGACGATCAAAGAACATCATGGTTTCTTCCCAGAGCCTAGCCTTTTCTATGCCTGATCCCACGTAGATCCACACCTCTGCCTGCCGCGACGCGTCCAGGCGATCGCCCTCCTCGTGATCGTTCCAGGGCCGCTCGCCTTCATCAGCAAGAAGGCTGGCGCCGCTGGCTTGCGACAGCGGCATCACGACCAGACGTCGGAGGAGAGGGGGGGGGAACAAGAGACGATGGAGGAGGAAAGGACAGGAGGAGATGGAGGAGGAGCTAGAGGAGGAGGTGGAGGAGGAGATGGAGTAGAAGATGGAGGACAGAAGTGACGACCGGACTCGGCGCAGACTGATCTTCCGACGGTCCCCCACCTCATCCAACATTCCTTTGCCTTCCCCTGCCCCTTCCACCCCTTCGCCACTCATCCATCCCCCCCCGCCTCCCGCTCGCCCCGCCCCAATCGCCCGCCCGCCCACCTTAGCGTCCGCATCATTGCGCTACGTGCGACGGCGCATGGGCGGCGAAAGGCGCAGTCCTGTATAAGTGCATGTTCTCCAAGGGCGTGTCGCAGAGGTGGCAGCAGCGCAGCGCCGAGCTCCAGTTGGGAACGTTGAAGAATTGGGCCACCCCCTCCCAGTCGGCCATGATGTAGCAGCACGCCGCCTTCAAGCCGAGCGAGGAACCACCTTGACTACGTCTGTCTGACTCTTTATCAGGCCAGCGG